TTTAGGTTTAAATAACTCGCTAAACGGGGAAACTTTGCACTTGTGTATTAATAGTACCCATTATCAACATATTAAAAACCAACATTCGTGCACGCTGTGCTACAGCCACTATATTGGGAAATGGTGGCCAATTTTACCTTTTTTGAACATAGTTCCTTTTGAAAACAAAATGTTGTTCATACAAAAGTTTTAGAACACACAAAAATATATATTTTTAAGTTCTTCAAATATTTACCCTATCTCTAACGGTTATAGAGGGAGAGATTTAATACATATCCTATTGCAAATAAAATAATGAGCAGTTCAGAAAAATTAAAATACCTCATGTCGTTGAATATGATCCGTTTTGATTTCTGTTTCATAGTATATTTAAAGGTGATGCACGTCGATCTTTATCAATACTCATACCGATACCACTCAGTCAGTGTACTGCAACGAAACTCTACACGAAAGAGTTCTGTATATTCTCGCTAGACTACAGCACTAGTTGACAACTACCTTCTTTCTCACAAATTATCAGTCTCAGATAGATATTACCATTGACTATTATGTATACTGTAATACGAGTTGCTTTTGCGCACAATGATTTCAAAAACGTCTCCTATGATTTCGTACGCAATAATGCGAGTTTATTTATAGACCATGAGCCACCAATATGAAACCCTCCCCCCCCCCGTGGGAATTTATGACTTATACTTTTTTTTGTTGGTATTACCTACCAGATTGAGAATTCAGTTGTTTGCCTCTTTTAAATTACAGCGTATTCCGGAAAATAAAGAAAAACAACTGTTAAATTTAAAAACTGTTTTATTTAAATTACAAAAGGGTAGCCTGCGTTAATTACTGGTGCAATATTTTTTTATGGACTTCTTTAGTATGTATTCAAAGGCTTTAAATGAAAATAAAAAAAGTTAATAAAATACCCCCGCTGCAGCAAACCTGCAGGCAATGCGGATTTCTGGCAATTGGCCTGAATTGATTTTCAATTAAATCTATTTAAATAACATTAGATTTAACGAGTACGTCTAGGAAATAGATTTTAAGAGATTCTATTTAAATTAAATAAATTTTATTGAGAAATTTTAGACGTAATTTTTACTGGAATGTAAGGTTCCAGTTAAATTAACGTCTAAAACTTTGTTTTCCTCATATCAAAGTCGGATTTGCGACAGTAATTTTCTTGTTTAAATCTCTTTAAAATAATGTGCTGATTGATATGGGTTGCCTTTAAAAAAATTTAAGTTACTCTTAGCAACCCTGTTTGTGGGTGGGGGGTGCATTTCAAAATATCACCAAAAAGAACCTTACATTACCCTAGAAACGTGTATTGAAGCTTGTTTGCATTTATGCATATTTGTGCTGAGACCATTCATTATTTAGCAGGTTAACCCGTTGTTCCTTATTTTTACCATTAGCTAGGATTTTTCCAATCCCATGGGATCTTGATTTTGGACCTCTCACAAAAACGTTTCTCCAAATCCCCTTCTCTCTTTCAATGTTTTTAATAGATACATCTAAATTGGTATCCGTAATAAAGTATACTAGAGGTCGTCCAGTGGTCGAAACTCAACCAAAAATATTTAATGTACAGACTTCTTTATTTTCATTCCACACTTTGAATAGAACATGTGATTGAAGTTTCTTCCATTTGTTTTGATTTTCTGTTTATATTTCGTTGTTATTTCGTCACCAGCATGGCAACTCATAATATCCATGTTAAATTTTTCAAAATTTTAAATTCATTTTTTGTGCTTATTTTTGAGCCTATTTTAATTTATAAAGGGATTCTGCACACCTACAGGAAAATAGCTTTCTAACAGTATGCGTAGATTTTCCCTACGATGCACACGAGCTGAGAAAAAAGGTTTTAAAGAAACATGCTTGCCTATTAATATATAGATCCTGCTGAATTTCGGAAAACAGCTGAAGGCAATCTGTGCTAGTTCACCAGAGGTTTCTGGAATATTAGTAAGAACCTAAAAGTAAGCCATACCGTCAATTACATACATACATTCTTCAATCTTGAGAGGTTCGTCTATACCCTTGTTCTCCAAAGCATGGAGCAGTTTGGCCTTTTCTGTTTTGGTTGGGCATCCATCGACAGTGGCTGATGCCCATGGTACTGGATCTAATGGGTATGTCATCAGTTTCTCAATGTTAATATCACGTTCCTGGGACAGCAGTAAAACTCCAGAAAAATATTTTTTATTGCTCTTATCTCAACTAATCTGTTTGCATGCAGCTTTCTCTAGATTATCTACATTGAGTAAATTGTCTTCCACCAATTCGGGTACAGGTCTTCTAGCTGATAAACAGAACATCTAGGAATTCTGATCACGGTTTTCAACTTCAAGCAGAATAATGCATTGTTCAAAAGCATCAAGTACAGTACTTGCAAAATACTTTGCTCACTTCGTTTCATTTCATTTGCTTGCATGTCACTGAGAACAATCTGATGACTTCACCATACTTGCATTTTAAAATTCTAACTTGCTGTGGGCCCGTCCTACGCACAGGAATCAACTAATCAAATCAAATCAAACTAAAAAATCTATACTAAAGGACCCATGCTGCACTGCGGCGTTAAAATAAATATCATATCCGAGAAATAATCAAATTTATTATTTTTGATTGTGTAATACAGTATCTTAAACTTAACTGATTCAAATGATCAATAGCTCAAATTAAAGCCTATAATTGACTGATTATTTTGAGTCTAAAACATATAAAAAAACGTTAACAATACTGGTGCTATTGATATTCAATCATAGAAAAACCTTATCATTTTTTTTATGTTGGATGATCACCTTGCGTTTGCTTGAAAACCGTCCGATTTGAATAACTAATATCTTAAATGCAAGCCGGTATTTCACTGAAGGTTCTTAGACCAAAATATATAGGGTTATATAATTACAAATGGTAAAATACTGTACAATTTAAATTGAAATACGAATTAAAAAATATATCAAACCTATGTTTTTTGGTCAAGTAATAAAGTAGATAAATATACGATGATGCTTGATGTGAAATATATGTGTGCATACTACCAATTTAAGACCTCAATCATGAAGATCGGACGTGTAGAAGAGCCAAAGAAACTCGGAAAAGAAAAAAAAAAACAAATTTAACTCCCTTTAGAAATACATGGGGGGTAAATTTAATTTACGTATAAGCCGAGTGGGACTGTCGATAAATATATACTGATGCTTGATGTGAAATCTGTGCGTGCATACCTTCAATTTGAGACCTCAATCATGAAAATCGGGTGGGTAGAAGCGCCAAACGAACTCGGAATAGAAAAACCAAATTTAACTCCCATAAGAAATACATGGGAAAAAATGTTGTTTACGTATAAGCCGAGTGGGACTGTAGGCAACTATATGCCGATGCTTGATGTGAAATCTGTGCGTTAATACCTTCAATTTGAGACCTCAATCATGAAAATCGGTCGGGTTGTAGAGCCAAACGAACTCACTAAAGAAAAACCATTTTTTTAAATATATATATTCATGATATTTTCGTGTTTTCCAGAACATGCTGTAATTCACAAGTGGCAAACACCTAAAACCTTAAAGTACATGTCAATACAAACAAAAAAATGTATATGTCGAAAATTCCCACCGGGGGGGGAGGGGGGGTAAACGCCAGCCTCCGCTCTATTAGGCCTAGAATGGTTTTCAATGACTGGAGACGACAAGGTCGTGCACAAAATGTTGTGCAAATAGCAACGGTACGTGAGCATGATAACATGTTATTATATAATTTGATGTATAATTTAGTCTGTAATGTATATAATGGGAATTGTACATATGTAGGCCTGTGTTTTTTAACGTCTACTTCTACTACAAATTAAACACCACGAACAATACTTGGCCCCTCGTGCCATGCTATTATTTGCGATTGTAACTTATATCATTGTCTTTGAATGCTTCGCTGCAAAATTAGTCTTAATGATCCACAAATTAGGCAATATATTTGTTTATTATTTGGGATAACTATAGCTATGGGTAGTCATATTAATAGTCAGAGGATCGTAAATTTATTTTTATTCAATGTTTTTTTTTACATTTGTCTATTGAATCAACGCAATAAACATCCGTTAGGTCTCACATTTTCGATATTCTTATTTTTAAGCCAACTTATTGTGTGGTTTATTTATACTTTTACTAATACAATAAAAGGAAAAAACTCACCAGAAAGTTGATTTAGCAACAATTAATCGTTTGAGAAAAAAATTAACTAAGGAAGTAAATTTGTTTTAAGAATATTTTCTGAATGGAATTTAAAATGTTACACAAATAATAAACTATTTGATTTAAAAACTAATCAATTTACTCATATAGATTTAACAACACCTCATGTTCAAATTCCCTTGGTTAGATCTACAACTTGAGTACAATAATGTCAAAAACCTCTTTGTATAAAAGGATTAAACATTTCTTCAACAGTACAGTAAAGTAACACTGTTTGACAATCGAAGCTATACACTTAATTTTCGTCATTGTAAACCAGCTGTATATCTTACTATTCCCATAGAAATATTTGAGTTCAAAAACTCATATCTAAAAGTTATAAATTCAGACTCTTACTTTTGTTTTTACTTTTGACGTTATTATAATCTTTACTTTTTGTAATTTTCAGTAGTTACAGGATGGAAAGAAAATAAGAATAATTACGATGTTTTCATTGTTCTTTAACCAAGGAAATTTAATCCAGAGGAGAAACTGTTGGCAAATAGACCGCTCGTTTTGGTGGTAATTATTTTAAAATTATTATAACAGACTCATCAGATATTAGAACAGATATGGACATACACGGAACAGTATGGATCATAAACATAAACAAATAACGTCATTGACCGATTGACCCGATAACAGCAATATCTGGTTTGACAATTATTCCATTTAATACGAATATTTTTACTTTTGGGCCAACAACGTCATTTTTTTGTGTTTATGATACTTACAGTTTTTCGTTCTAATATCCGTGACAGAATGTTGACGAAGAGAAGACACCAAAACATGTAGGCGTTACCGAACGTAAAGTACATTAAATTGTCTTCATCTGACCCATTTACATTTTTAAATGTGACGACGAAAATAGCTTTTAAAAATTTAAATTTTCTTCAGCCAATCCATAAGATTTGGAAGATACATCGGGTAGATTGATATAAACTTATTTAGGATTCCTAATCAATAGTTATTTTTAGACCCCTACAGCAAGTTATAGAGTAGAACGGTTCAAACTAATCTGACGTCCCCCAGAAGATTGCTGCCGTCTAGAAAGTTGCTGATCACTGTGCTGAGGATGCCGTTGACCACGAGCTCCACGAAGCCGAGGAAGTATGGCTCCACGACGTCCACTATCGGAGTCAGCACGCCGCTGGAGCTGCAGCATCGCCACTCATCATCTTCTTCGGCGTCTTCGTCATCAGCATCTATCATGGCGGTGGCAGAGCTTTGGAAAAGACGTAACAGCTTAGTGTACTTTTTACTAGTATATTTCATCACTGGGCCTTAAGTGTTTTAAGTACAGTACTCCAAGTTTGACGACCCAGGAGAGCAAAACAAAATTAGCGAGTATCGAAAAATATATTTGGCCTTGTTTTCGACGCATAATATTTTTTAGCGTAGTACACTATTCATAAAATCTAACTAATTATAAAACTAACATTTTGTACACTTTTTACCCATTACGTTAGCTACCGGAGATTGATACAATATGCAATTAAAGGTGGTGGTAAAGTGTTACTGTACTTGAAACCAGTGTGCGTGTGTGTGTGTGTGTGTGTGTGTGAATCGACCGTCAATCTCACTTAAAGGTTTTTTAAATGTACACAATTGCTGTTTTATTGTAAAACAGTGGGATTTAAAATGCATATCGTATAGGCCTATAATCGGATGAATGAAATAGAGATGGTCACGTGGTATTAGTTTACAAGATAATTTTCCCGACTCAAACTGCCAGAATTTTTCTTTATGAGTGTAAACTAGCTGTTATGAATTATAGCCTATTTTTTCAAATTTAATCGAATACTTGATTCCCGTACGTAGGACGGCCCAACAGCCAGTTATTTAAAAAAGAACGTAGTTTTGTGCTTCCATCTGGTTTTGCTATCAAACAAAGAGATGCTACTGAAGTATTCAATTACAGGAATGGCTTTTTTTGGCAGTAGAGGAAACTTATTATATGCAAATCCGGTATTGATATCCAAAATCACATAGATTTGTACGTGGGGTTCTAAAAACAAACGAACACTTTGGTCTATAACACAAAGATGACACCATTATCTTTTGAGTGTGCAGTCGTCAAAGTGAAGACTACCTAGTACACTATAAGATTTATTCAGTAATTGTATTATGCGAATGTTCCATACTTTACATCAGTTAATCACAATAAGATACGTTTTTAGATAACACCATAATAACACTCTAATCTGTATTGATTTAAATCGACGTATGTAGTACTTGTACAGATTATAGGATTTTCTCAATCCACTTTTTTTATTATATAGTGTTTCGATGACTACATAAAATTTATAACTGCATGTTACTAGTAATATTTAAAAATGTGTTCGGATAATTTAATTCTCCAGAAAATACCACGTTTGTAGTGAAATTAGCAACACAAGAATAATGGTATAACCCGTTATAACAAGAAGAATATACAGCAGGAGAATAAAAAGAATAAATAGTTTAACAAAACAATGCTGGACTATTGTTAAGGGTACAAATATCTAAACTAAAAATGTAAGAAAAAAATAAAAAAGTCTATAGACTTTAAGTTCAAAATGTGTTTATATACAGTATGAATTCTGTATTCATAATGCATGACAAGTGATGAATCTGTGAAGAGAATAATATGTCTCGTGTTTTGAAAACCTGATGAAGGGTTAGTTAAACAAAATTGTATAAATACTTCCTGAACTTATAGAAGGATTTACATGGACGAAGGTATGGGAGGTTGTATTATTTTCCTATTGTCTACGCTTGTGGCAATTAAGGAATCGAAGGTACACGAACAGTTGTAGGTGTTGAGAATTGTTGCATTTACCTGTGGTCTGACCTGGACGCCTGTAGTGTGAAGGTAAGAGTCAATCGTCTGTCGTGATCGGTGATGTTACCCTTGATTGTGACCGATGAAGAGGCCAGCAGTAGGGTATCTGCCAATTCTGAACCCTCCTGTAGCCACAAAGCTCAACTTAAAATAAATACACAAAATTATACAAAAACAATCACTACAGTAGTTGTCCATGTTAGACTTTGCCCTTTCATTTATCAAAATGTGTTATATTTGAAATTTACTAACAGTTATTTGTTTATAAGCTATTTTCTGTTTATTTTGTCTTTGTAAACACGGCAAAAATACTAAAATTGACGCAACTGAAACTCCCAGCAGTTAACAATTTTAAGAACATAAACAAAAACTAATAATTTGTGTAATTATACCTGAAAATTTATAATAAGTAAAAAACTAAATTTTCCTAGCTTGTCTGTGGTTCTGTAGTCAGTGTCAGTGAAGTATATTAATACGGCAAAATAGTACAGCATATATAATTTAGTAAGTTTGCTGTGATATTGATTACTTACTGTTGCAATTATCTTAGTGTCCTCTTGTTCTTTACTGACCATAGTGTCAATCTTTTTCAAAAGCATCTGCAGCAATTCCGTTTGTCCCCCTCCTAGATCCACGGTTGCTAAAAAATATTTGGTTGAGAAAAAAACTACCAATAATAGAGGGAAAATAGTACAAGAAATATTTCATATAGCTTTTTTTCTCGTTGAAAAATAAAGTAGAAGTAATTAATTAATTTTAAATCAAGTATTATATAAAACATTAAATTTTTTGTCAGTCAACTACATATTAAGGCCGGGCATATATGAAACCCGAAAGATCAAAAAACTACCTTGTTTTGTGATATTATAGATAGCTGACAAACTACTGCAAATTTTACTTACATGTTACAATACAAAATTTGTCTCGTGGACATAGTTGTTTTAGTTATCAAACATAATTTACTTTAAACAAATGGAAAAAATACATTTTATTACCATGGACGACGACGCCGCTTACTTCTCGGCAAGTAGCCATTAGGATCCCCACCAACATGATATAGGCCTCTCGTGCTGGCATCCTGTAAACCATACAACCCTTAGAGCACACACAAACACACAGATACCATTTACATTGTTGAAAACTATACTATTACAAGCTAATACGCAATGTTTTATACATTGTGTAGAGGTACAAAATTGTAAGGTTTCATTTAGTATGTTTTACTCGCTATCCAGAACAACAGTAATGCACAGGTGGCAATCAGCTGATCATTAATTATTTTTTTAAATTGTGAATATTGTTGATTTTACTGGTAGCGGAGTGGTTAGTGTTGACATTCAAACTCAAAAGTAGCTGAGTCGACGTCTAACTTGATCGATTCTTAGCTCAGGTGACACCAGTTATCGGGTTATCAATTAATTATGGTGTCCAACAAAAAATTTCAACTTTAGATAGTAACGAGACTGGGGTTTGGAGCTTTCCCGTAGGACTTGTTAGATAATGTCGCGGATAATGTTTAAAACCCCGACAAACACAAAACTAGCCGATCTCGTAAACAGCATCCGATGAAACATTACATTGAAATTTAAACTCCGTTCACGTAGTTAAAACAGTTAATTGTAAACTACTGTAATAAATTCTAGGTTGACAAGTTTTTGACTACTCTGAAACATATGTCTTTAAATTTATGATAAATAATTCTTAAAAACTCACTTCTTTCCTTGGTGTTATAAGAGCTGGTGTTGAAATAGTTTTGAAAAATCCATTAGGCATAAAATGTTGTTGGGGTTTATTCAAGAAGACAACTTGCTAGAAGGTTGCACGTCGAGTTCTAGAAGCTTCCAAATTGTCGATTCCATAGCTGAAACAAAGAAGACGGTCTTTCGAGTGCGCAGGCGTCAAACTAAAGACACGACACACACTATCACACTATCAGATGACTAAGTGACAAGTTTAAGAATACTAGATTTTCTTTTTATAGCCGATAATCATGTGAAATGAATCCTGTTGATACTAGATTAATACCTATGCAATATTAAATTTGTTAAGTCATTTTAATCGGTTTAACTCGATTCAAGTGGTGCTTGTAAAGATAAAAGGATGTTCTTGTTTAATGTTTTTGATTATCTAGGTTTTTAATACACGAAATGTTTGTTAGCGTATTTCATTTAATGTAATGCGTTGATTATTGGGTAATATGGTCTTCACAATAGTAATAATTTCAATAAGACTAGTGGACAAATAACAATAATTGATTGGAGAGTTAATTCATTCATTTTAACCAGCCTGTTTTACTTTGGAAACTGTAACTTATGTTTAATAATAAACATATCTTCTAAATTCATTCTTAGTGATTAACTAATAGAAGATTTGCCCATGGGTCCTTGTATGTTAGGTTCTGAAAGGTAATATAATAATTTGATGAAAAAATTCGGCAATCTTTTAAGAAGTGTCAAATAAATTTAAGGTACCTGTATACGAAAATAGCTTTATATTCATTATGGAATTTATCGTATGAGTATATAAACAATCAAGTAAAGCAGTCTATAACTCATGAGAACATATTGACTTATTTAAGAACCAATTATTGTATTAATAGTACAGTCAAGAAAAGGGTTAACCTCCAAAAAATTCCAAAAGTTTTGAAACTTTGCACCCTTATTTCTAGGTACCTAAGGAAGATTATACCGAAAATCCCCATATATATGAAGCGAGCTCATGCGGCAATTAGCGAAAACAGGGTACCTTTTTTGGTTTTTGGCTAAAATCTTGAGAACCGTCGGTCGGAGTTGAAAGTGACTATATATACCAAATGAAATGAAGGATCATTAAATTCTCAGCAAACAAGATATTTACACTTTTATTTTATTCCTAATGGTTGCCGAGTTATAAAGTGCTAAAATGTGGTGTTTTTCTCAAACTGTCGGGGGGCTATAACTCGGTAACCATTAGAAATAAAATAAAAGTGTACATACCATTTCTGTTGAAAATTTAATTATCTTTCATTTGGTACACAGTAACTTTTATCTTCGACCGACGGTTCTTGAGATTTTAACCAAAACCCAAAAAGGTGCCCTGTTTTCACTAATTTCTGTTAGAGCTCGCCTCAGATTTATGGGAAATTTTGGTATAATCTTCCCTAGGTACCTCGAAATATGTGTGCAAAGATTCAAATATTCGGATTATTCCGGAGGTTAGATCATTAATTTACATATTTTGACTAGACTGTTAATTGTAGAAGAAATAAAGACGTTTAATATATTATTCAGACGGAGAGAAATCAAAATCATACATTTTTCCGTCTGAATAATATATTCAACGTTTTTATTTCTTCTACAATTAACAGTCTAGTCAAAATATGTAAATTAATGATCTAACCGACGTAATGACTACGTCAGGGTGTTCAAAAAAGGTGTGGACATATTTTACGTAGTCGTTACTTCAGTCAAAATAAAGAGAAAATCTTGAATATTTTTTTTTTTCCAAAATCGCATTGTTAGCCAGATATCCCCCATTTTGTATTTTTTACCTAAATATTTTTATGTTTGAATTGTTTCAACCGGTCTTTCTGAAACTTGGCATACATGTTAAGGTAGTAGAGACCCATGGTTGGAAAAAGCTATCTTAATTCAACTTATAGTTTCAAAATGGTGGTAATTTTAATTTTTTAAACTTAAATTGCTAACATATGGCTGATTTTATGAAAGAATTTGATGGATATTTTTCTTTTTAGCATTTTTAATTCCCCATCAAACGATACCAAGTTCAAAAAGATCGAATTAAAAATACCTGTTATATCAACAATTTTATTTGTAAAATGAGGCAAACCTTGACCAGTTAAGTAGTCTTGTTCTACCCCACTTCAAACAAAAAATCGCGATATTTCAGGTAATTGTTATTCGATCTTTTTGAACTTGGTATCGTCAGATAGTATTTTGTCAAAAAACATTTTGTCATAAAAACACCTATATTTTAGTAATTTAATTTTAAAATATTTTGTATCAGGTATCATTTATTTAAATATTATGTGAAGCATGATTCGAAGAAATGGTTTTATATTCACTAAATCTCAAATAAAAATATTTCTCTTAAGACATGTATAATTAATTCGTGCAATAACATACATAAGACAGATAAATGTATTGGCAAAAGAATAATATGTTCATAACTCGATTCTAAAATGTATATGTAGGAGTAAATAATATGTTCACATTTGAATACTCCATTCACAACTAATTGTTATGCTCGCGACTAAATTTAGCTACCCATTGACAAGAGAGCGCTGTATACATATAATCGAATACTAGCTATATATTCACTACTGCATTAGATTTTTTTAAATAGACTACCTTACCTCTGTCTCAAGTTATTTTTTTTTTTTTTCATGAAACGTCTTCTGCCTAATTTTGTTGCAAGCACAACATTATCAGCAAACAAGTCCCAACTCAAAAATTGAATAAAATTTACAAACAATAAAATACTTTTAACAAATTTGGACCGTATGTGTTAGGGTTTCTATCAAATACAAATTTCGCTTGTATAAACAAACAATAAATACAATATACAAAGAGAACACGAGACGATTACGTTAATGTTGTGAATGAAGTCGAAAGGTATTTTTTCCCTAGGCCTAGGACGCTAGGCACGGGTTTGTTTTTCACATTACTTCAGAGTAGACTTATTAACAACTTTTAAGAAAAAAGTGAAATTGACTTCCGGACGATTTACATTTGATATTTAGATATGTTTCTTACTCAGGAACAATGAATATTGGTAAAGAGTTCCGGGACACCCTGTATAATCTTTTTTGTAACCTAAATGGTCCTAACAGCAAATGCTAAGGTAGATGATACAAGTTTAACAACAGCGGTATAGGTTAGAGAAGCTCATTCAAATATGTTTGGAACAATAATTTGAGAAAGGTACAACATTTTAGGTATACGTTATTGAGCACTCTAGTAGCTGATAGTATTTCAGTTGCAGTTTCCTAAAAAAAACTTATATCTGCTGCTCGGCAATTACACTTCGGCTGATTGAACGTTTGTTGATAGTACAAGTTCAATGTCGTTTTCTGCATCGGGTCGCCGGAATGGTCGCCCCCGGAAACATCACCCCCCAGGCTAAACGTGACGTCACGAAACCAGACAACCAGCTGGTATAAAATCTATGTCCGCGACCGGAATCGTTCCCCCCCAAGGGCTTGACAAGTAATTTATCAAAATCTAGTTGATATGAACTAATTATGTTATTAATTTTAATTCAAACAAGTAGAAACGGAAAGGTCTTCCCCGGCAAGGCATCCCCTATGTACACCCCGGAATCGTCCCCCCCTGAAACGCTACCCCTAGTAGGGCTGGGCTGCTCGGCAGCCTACCTGCTGCCCGTCCTCCTGAGTCCATTGTTCTGAGGGTCGGCCGCTAGTTCATTATTATTGTCGCTTGGACAACAGCTTTTCCACAGAAGAAAATTTCAGACGCTGTGGTTGAATATCAATCAGTAGATTTAGATGTGTATGAACTTCTAAGACAACTAAATAATGCGAGCAAAGATTGACTTTAAAAAATGATTCTTTTATACTTAATTCATAACCAACGATAATGCGTAAAGTATAATTTTTTTCTGTTGCATTAAATGGTAGTTATACTTATCAACATCAGTAAACTTACCTTACACCCTATGGTAATTGTTAAGCAACACATTTGTTAAAAATAGAATAATGTATAAATGTATTAAAAATGAATCGCATTGCTTTAGGTTTGGCCCCGATTTAATTAATAATTTGAAAATTAGAAACAGATTATTAAATAAGAATAAACATAATAATATCTTTTAGGGGATTAATCCCTTAAACTTATCGAAATAATTAATTGTTAGTAATTACAAATATGTAAATGATAGGCTACTATTCTAAAGGTTATGCCAAAAAGTACCTTAATTCAGAAACAGCCTAGGCTAGTTTCATATCACTGGAATAGAGTCAAAATATAATGAAAGTATAATCAAAATATCAGAATCACTTTAAATCGAGAAGAGGACTTGCAATCAGTGTTGATATACCAATAAATTAGTTTTGTTATAAGATGTATATGTTTAGAAAACCTTTTTGCTACTGAAGTTTGCAAAATTATGTTTCATAATTACTAAGGGGAAAATATACGTGAGTTCAAATTTTTAATATGTAATCAAAATTTGAAATGTTGAGCTGTAAACTTGTATTACATCGCTTAAACGATAGTAACATTCGTATATACTCCAATTAATGTATCACAAAGTGTCAATTATAATTAAAAATACCCCCGACACAGCAAACCTGCAGACTAAGCGAATTTCCACTTGCCTGATTGGATTTACGCTAAAATGTCTCTGTAAAAATATCACATTTATTCCCTATTTAAATAACATTAGTTCAATATATATCAATATCAATATCAATTGATATGGGGACGCCACCTAGGTGCGTATTTTAACCCAAATATGAGTGTATAATAGAATGGTGTGAGATGATCTGTGTAGCTTTGTTACTGACTAAGATCAGCTGTTTCATTAGCCAGGACCATTTATTTAAAGCCCAATGATCCGGAACAGCTGGGTCCAGTTTTGAATCATCAAAGTTTAACGAGTACTTAGGTTTGCTGCAACAGGGAGGGTAAAAAGGTGGTTTTTTTATGATAATAGTTTAGTATGAAATGAATGCATTTTCCAAATTTGATTAAAATATGTATATAAACAAGCAAACTACAACAGTTTACTTATTCTAAGTATAACATGGAAATTTTAAATTTACAGATTTTCGGAATTTTCTCCGTAACCATTAGGCGCATAATTAACGCTTCAATATACTAAATTATTTGTTTTTAAGCTCTACAAAATGGTTTATAAAGAAATTGCGAAATTTTAAGTTTTTAGTGTCAAAAATGGGAAAACCCAATTTTTACCCCATAAACCCCCGTTCCCTTGGTTCGATCATGCTGGTTCGAAACGTAGGTTTACACGCGTGTACCAAATTTCATCAAATTTATGAATTTGAACGGATGGTGTTTTTGGCATCTAGGGACCTCAAAACGAAAAAGTAAATCGGTCCCGGGTCCAGGTCTTACCATGAGTACTACGGTAATAGCTTATTCCCTATAGGGGAAATTCGCTAACACAAATTTAGGATTTTGTAACAAAGTTTGGAAGACAGGTACTTAAATTGAGAAATAAATACACACAATGAGTACTAAATCGTCTATTAGGCCTATACATTTTAATTGTGGAAAGAAAATACAAAAATATACTTACTTACTTGAATACTTGATTCCTTCATCTTTGACCAACAAAAGTTGGATAGACTGCGTAAAAAAAAGAGTAAACTTATAAAACACTATAAACATATATATATATATATATATATATATATATATATATATATATATATATATATATATACAATTTAATCTGAACTGGTTACAATTACTATAACTGAATAACAATTTAATATTCTACAAAGTGTCAAGGAATTTATACAGTACCGATACAAACTTCATTTACAATATAATTTAAAACAATAAAATATATCAAAATCAAAATCAAGAGCACAAAAAGAATAAAAAAGCATAAAGATATTTTTTTTGTGTTACGCACTTTAAATTTGTGTGTTTCGTTTCTTATTCTTATTTTTATTTCTGTTTATAAATATACATTTTGCTACTGTAGTACCTTTACCTATTTGGTAATGTTTGGACACCTTCTTATATGGGAAAAGGTTGAAAATAATATGTTGATAATATTTCAAATTATCAAATCAAATACTTAGTCATTTTAACTACGTAAAAAATAATGTAAGTAAATAATTAAATATATTTTCTTAAATTGTTTTTGGCAACAAATAAATCATTAAAAACCTGGTAAACATTAAAGACCAAGAGCACAACAAATAAAGAAAGCAAAAAGAAAAATCATTTGTGTCCTAAATGAAAAATGGCTTTAATACAAAAAATAACGTTTTACTAAGGCTAGGATTATACTAGGACGCTGGCGTCCGGGATGCTGGCATCCGAGAGGCTAGCGTCCCACCTCGAGCCGAAAAATGACGTGATTTGTGTTGGGATGCTAGCCTCTCGGACTGTCATTTGATTTCAATGTTTAGTCACTTTTTGTAACATTAAATAACATTAGGTTTAACGAGTACCAAGGTTTTAAGTTTTAAGGGGGCTAATAAAGTGTGTTTTTTTAGTAAAATACTGTATTATTAGCTTAGTATAAAACAAATTGGCCAAGTTTAATCGAAATATATCCATACACAAGCAAATTCCAACACTTAACAACATTTTCTATAAGAATAACATGGCAATTTTAATATACAATTTTTTTTAATTTTCTCCATAACTAATAACAGTACAAAAAAACTTAAATATAGGTACTAAATTATTTGTTTTTAAGCTCATTAAAATTATCTAGAGAGAAATTGTGAATTTTTTTAGTTTTATGGGTCAAAAATAACAAACCCCTTTTTTTAGCACATTAACCCCGTTCCCAAGGTATGTTCATGCTGGTTCACGAACTCATTCAAATTTATCCCACCCTTCACATTAAAACCAAATTTCTTCAAAATAGATCAAAAGTTACTCCAGTTGTTTACAGACATATATATATAATATTTAAATCTATACGATCGGATGGTGTTTTTGGCCTCTGGGGACATCAAAATGAAAAAGTAAATCGGTCCCGGGCCTAGGTTTTACGATGCCACCTACGGTAATAACTTCGAGCTTTCGGTAACTTTTTTTAGCATCCGACGCTAGCATCCAAAGTATAATCGCCCCCATTTGATTTAATGCCCCGCTAGCGTCCCGGACGCTGGCCTCTCGGACGCTAGCGTCCTAGTATAATCCTAGCCTAAGTTGTTGAATATGCCTACGGTTATCTGTAAATATCAACCTATGCTCTTATTTAAGATTTCCTTCTGACTCCTTGCGGGATGTCCCCATTATGTGACAGAAAACTGACAGTCTTTAAAACGTTGTTTTTAGGTGTGGTGTTTATGTACCAAATCTTATTGATTTATCTATTGCCGTTTTGAAAATATTAAGCCCATGCGGGACTTTATAAATACACCCTAAATATGTGACCGTGAGCGCGGTAACTCGGGCAACAACGCTGCGAGTTTGATGAGATTTGTTACAAACGTGTAAGCCTAAGTTTATTAGAACGAGTTCGTGAACCAGCATAATCGGACTATGGGAACGGGTGTGTCTGAATTGCGAACACCTCCAAAATGCTGGAGACTGAACATAAGTCGCCAAGATTGCGCACAAATATTCGGAATCGGGGAAAATGGATGAGTCACTATTTCTTGTAATTTATGGAAGATTTAATACAATTGTTTTAAATGTAATGTTTTAAGACTTGACTTGGCATGTACAAAAACGCAAAGAGTGGAAAAGTAAACGGATAAGCAAGAATTCATGTGGGTGGGTTTCATCGATTTCCACTAGAGTGTGCAATTAATTGTGATTTATTATATTTTTAAACGTGACAGAGTTTTTTTTCCATTTCAGGATTCTGAATCAACCACTTTCGCGATTTCGTGATTTTTGTGTTGAAATAAATATAATTTTCTAAGGAAGGGAATTTCAATGCCATGATTTCATTTTTTAAAGTTTAATTTTTTTAGTCTAGCAGCCAACGCTAATAATTTAAAGTCGTTTCATTGCTGTTTTAACTAACAGCTGGTTTCAAACTGTCATTGACGTTTTTATGTTACAAGTAGTTTACTTAAATATTGATCGTCGGTGTTTGCCCGCATACTGTTTCAATTTTAAATGTTGTTTTTTCCTACCGTAACGGATCTTCGTATTCAGGATATCTGTAGATTTGATTTGAACTATACATCTACCCTTGGGTAAAATCAAGATTTGTCTGAAATCAAATCTGTGTAAGTAGGCCTATAAGTTTATGCCATGAAAGTTATGTCATGTTTGTAGAATGTGTGTAGTCTATATCGATATACCAAAATTTCGAGGGTTATAAAAATGTGAACCGGTGTAGCAGGTCTCTAGAAAACACTGGGGAAAATCCCCTACAATATTTTGAGCTGATTTTATTGTTAGTGCAACTTTAGAGTATACTTTTTACAAATTACATTAACATTTTCAAAATCTGTTTAAAACTCAATGAGGCGTTCTGTTCACAAATTAACCCCTTCCAAATTAATTAAGTACATAGGCTAGATAACACTGATAAATTATGAATTATATTAATGTACGAATTATGGTAAAAAGATGAAACTGACTTTAGTAAATAACTAACTAAACTTTTCCTTGACTATGTTAAACAAACGTATTTGGCTCAGGTATTCTTGGGAGGGATACCTGAAATGGGGAAGTCTAAGCTATTTTACAAAAAAATACTTCCCGCTATAAATACAGTTGTACTCTACGAATTAATAGTCTGCAAATTACAGACGAATTCCATAAATCAATACTCTGAGAATAGTGGATACTATACTTAGGATTATGTTCTCTTGCAAACTTATAAGTTATACGTATTAATATTCTGCGAACTATAGGTAGATTTAAATGTGTAACTTTCAAAACAATGGGCGACCGTTCATGGAATAACTGTACTACGGTACTTCAATGTCAATTTAGTTATTTAATATCAGCAGTGTGAAATCATGAAATAAAGTGAATGTGACACTGTTGCTTGCTTCTCTGTCAACGCAAACGTAAACAGTGTGAGCTTTTTCCTGTTTATTGCCGAAGAAACTAACCAATATTTACTTTCTAAATTCTTTTTACGGGAAAGAGTCCTTCACCAATATCAAAAATCAAATCAGGAATATTCTCAATGCATTTATTTTACCATAAAATCCAGACAATTATTTAAATGTATAAAAATTATATACAGCATTTATTGCTCAATGTTAACAATTTAAGAATTAGGAAATGTGAAAATATGTTTGTCAAGTGTGTATTGACTGTATTATGATGTTGAGTGGTTGAAGCATGCTCATATTAATACGAGTTGATTCCTTACTTAATTGTCACTATTACTATAAACATTTTATTTCATTTCCACGTGTTTCAAATACATTTTATACGTTGACGGAAAAAAACTATATGTAATTTATACATCATTTGATGTATAAAATTAAGGGGAAATGTCTAGAGAAAGCACAATATCAAAGTGTTAATTTGTATTTATCTTAATATCCACAACATTTGCGTAATAATACCAAATCCTTCCCATTCTTGCGAGTTCAGTCGAGCGGTGGTAATATGGGACAGTCTCTACCCTTGTGAACAATAGCTGGCTCGAGTCACGAGCCCAAGCCCTACAGCAGGTATACCGGGGGAGATCATGGCACGGGGGGACCTTTCCGGGGTGTGAATTTTGAAAACGATCGGGGTTAACGTATCCGGTTAACACAATCAATTCTAATTAGAAAATCTGGTAATTGTATATGATAAGTGAATATAATTATCTAATTAATGCGCAAACTCAAAAATAACTCGTCATATCGACGAGTGCATGCTGCAACTGAAATTGAGTGTCCGCGGCCGGAAACATCACCCCCCGGTCTCTGACGTCAATATGACGTAGGGGGGTGATGTTTCCGGGGGCGACCTTTCCGCGTCCCCTTCTGCATCTGTGTACCAGCTGCTACTGCAGTAGCCACAGTATGAAATTGCTATGGATCCCTGTCCCAACACAACCGCTTGAAGTGTGTGCGCGTGTGTGAGAGAATTGGTACTGAGGTGTGTGTTTCATATATTGAAAATCTATAGTTTTGCAGTTTTTTTCTCACAACCGATACACCAGAATGCCAGGCCTGGTTGAAGGCAGATTGGCTCTTGTGACAGGTAATATTACTGTTTTTAATCTCTATAACGTTTATTTAATAGTTGGACTACTAAGAATTTGATTAACTAACTGTATACCACATGGGCTGTTATAAATGTTATGCAACAGTCACTCTAGCTTTTAGAGAATTTCCCTATAGGGAAGTAGCCTTTCTATTCTGTGCTCTCTGGAAGTACTGTAGTTGTTATTGTAGTTGGCACTGTATTTTTTCACCTAGACCCTAGATTTTTTCATTTTTATGTCTCTAGAGAGGCCAAAAACACTAATCGTTCAAATTTTTATATGCATTTTAAACGCATTTGTATGGGTATTTTTTAAAGTATATTGTTTTTAATATGAATATAAAGATATACGTTTCAAACTTATGAGGAATGTTTGCATTTACAAACATTTATTTATTGTTTTCTCTAGGAGTCCATAAAAAGATTCAGTTTGATAAGGAAAATCTACCAATGTGAGACTAATAGCTAAGGTCAAGTTCAATTGGGTCGACTCTTATCACTCTATTTGCCTGACACTAACTCACTGATAACACCTGACACTGATAACTAGTGATATGAATATCTCTTGTAATGTCAGTCTTAAACTATATTTTGCTTCTTCATGTATATAATATTTTGTATTGAGTATTTATTCTGTCGTTACTATTAGTATAATATGATGTCTCTTGTAATGTTAGTCTGCAACTATTTATTCTACTTGTTCATGCATGTTTTATTTTGTAATGAGTCGGATCATTCTATACAATCTGTCTAGTCTCTTGAATGTATTGTTCCATGTATATTTGCTATTCTTGTATTTATTTTTGCAGACCATCTTGTTTTGATATGTATTGTTTAATGGCATTTGCCGTAGAAATGAATAAATGAATAAATGAATAAATGAATGAATAAATGAATAAATGAATGACACTAACCCCATTAAAGAACTGAAAACGTATATTTATTTCCTACAGAAAATAACTATTTAATATCTTACTAAGCTAACCCACAGCTCATTGTTACTTAACGCTCATGGTAAAGGTAGCTTAACGTAATTTTACTTTTTCATACAAATTTTATTTTAATTTTACAACAAATTAATTAATCACATAACTTATTTTTTGTTAAAATAATTAGTTTTTTAGCATGTAATTTTCAATACAAATCGTTTATTGCTAAAGGTGTCTTATTATCTTCCTTTGGTTAAATTCTCACAACTGTATGGTCCAGAATTCCAACCAGATACTGGCCCATACTGCCCGGGTTCTGGTCCAGTACTGCCCAGGTTCTTGCCCAGTACTCTGGCCAGGTTTTAGTCCAGTACTAACTATGTTCTAGTCCAGTACTTCCCAGATACTGGTCCATACTGCCCATTCCCAGGTTCTGGCCAGTGCTTTCCAGTGATTGCCAATTTTGCAAGTGCTTCTCCTAGGCTAGAAATGTGTTTCTGAACCAGAACAATCTTCCTCATAGTATCCTAAGGTTGTACAACTTTCGTTAAATTAACCTAAAATTCGTCCTGAAATTTGTTAGCGAGTTAGCGGAGCGAGTTAATGTATGTACATTAAGTATCATGGATGTTCATTTACCATTTCTCAACCATTTCGCAGGTGGGAGTAGTGGCATAGGCAGAGCAGCATGTCAGGTGTTGGCCAGAGAAGGTGCCACGGTAGTTGTCACATGTGTGGATGACTATGGAGCGAAGGCAACAATGGAAACATTACCAGGTAGGCTATACTTCATGTTGGTCATCTCCACGATACCAATGTGCAAAACTACAAAATACAAGGGCGGTTTTTAAGTAGGGCCGGTTTCGCATGTAAATCTATATTTCACTCATCGCCGTTTACTGGCATCTGTGAACAGAATGACTCAAATGTCTGCTCTGTAGCTGTCATTTATGATTCTCTGTGTGTTTTTAAAAATTTGTGAAAATTCAAATCTCCCGCCGCGTCCGAGGTTAGGTCAGTGATATTTTTTTGATTACAATAACAAACATATCCGATGCTGAGAATCATTGCCAAAATGACTGAAGGTGGTGTTAATAACGCAATGAGTGAGGTTAAAGTACGAAAATGGGTTATAGAGTGTTAAAACAGCCGAGAAATCATTTTTTCTTAGTGGTCTTCTTTTAGCAGTCTGGGTCTTACCATAGACAAAAAATTTACCAGCCGTGCTGCTGTTACCATGGTTACCATAGGTTCCGGTGCACACTGCTGGGAGCGCCGTGTAGTCACTTAACGTGTACGCCGGAACTACATGACGCTTCCAGTGGTGTGCGCCAGAACCTATGGTAACCGCAACACAGATGACGGTCTTTATTTAATTCTTTTTGTCTATTGTCTTACCTAGGACGTGGCGGGAGATTCGATTGTTTAAATAAAAACTTTAAAACATACAGCGAAGCGTACATCACAGATACAGAGCTTAAATTGGCATTATGTTATGCTTGTAAATGGTGATGAGCCTCATTACGGCGTACAAGCGAACTACGGTTTTATACGAGAAACCGGCCCTTCCTAAAAAAAAACCATGTTTCTTTTTTTGGGCCTCTCCCACCACAACTTTGCATCAGACTTAGTTCATAGCTGTTGTTATTATTTGAACTCAATTGCATGATCATAGACTTAGGAAAAGAAATTTTCTGTGCTTTTTAAATTTGGTGGTTTCATAGTTCAAGTAAAGTTAAAAAACCTCGTTATGTCCAGGAGCCAGCCATTCATGGATGAAGTTTGATGTGACCGACAAAACACCTGTGTATATCCTAGATAAAATATTCATCGAATACCGAAAATACCCAGACATTCTTGTCAACTGTGCAGGCATTGTCAGATTCACTCCGCCACTAGAAGAGACCCCAGAGACTTTCCAGAGCATCATTGATGTCAATCTAAAAGTGAGCTTGTGTTAAGAGTTTTACACGTAAAATATCAACAATTATCAACGGAGTGGTGGCCACCACTTTACTTTTTAGTCATTGGACCCTGAGAGACCAAAAAGCCGGTTGATATAGATTGATATTAGTTAACTTTAAAGATAATTTTTATTTTCAAATCAAAATTTACTTGATTTCACCTGAAACCCAGCATAGTCCCATGGAAATTTAGTTTTTTTCTTCCTTTCTTGTAGGTTTTAAGTGGACTTGACTTGCAAATCCTAACTTCACATCTCAAAAAAAGTAATTTTAAAATTAGTTTTAGGTATTATTTTAAATTTGGCTATTTTTACTATGCTTCCACTCCAGGCCAATCTAAACTCTTATATAAGACTATGTTTAGTGTAAACACATACATTAATGATAAGTGATTATAATTACTGGTTTGTTAGACTCTTGGAGTTGCAGCACATTGGGGTTCACCTTACGTTCGATTTAATAGAAGTGTGCTTGCATAGGCTAAATAGTTTCAGTAAAAGTTTGGTTATGTTACCAAACTTGCTTCCAATACATCGTTTATGCTTGGCGGGCTTTTAAATTTAAAGGGTTAAACATATTCAGCTTTACTCGATTGGAATGCATAGTAAAAATTACCAAAGTTTCCTACACTTAAATAGTTTTCCTACAAAAACATGTGGAAGGCATTTTGAATAGTTTTATTACATCCGCAAAGTTGATACAGCTACCAACTACAGTCTATAACTTGGTCTCAATATTCTAGGGGACATTTTTCACATGTCAGGAGTTTTGCAAGCGACTCGTCAGAAACAAAATGGCCGGCTCTATCGTAAACGTGGCCAGTATGACGGGCCACCGCGGATTCGAGGGTATGAGTGCTTACGCGGCTAGCAAACTTGGGGTGGAAGGTGTCACGAGGTGCCTGGCCAGGGATATGGGTCGGTAAGTACCATAGGCATAGGCATAAATATAGACAGTTCTCCGAAACACAATTTCAGAGCATTGCCTATTGGAGAGGCACATGGTGATTTCCATGTTGACATGTTCGAACATTTGAAACAGATCGATATTATGGCTTGGCCAAAGAAATGTCTGGTATTCGTAACAAAGCTACTCAAGGTATTACAATACATTGTATCAATGTCTTTTCAACACCGAAGACGACATCCCATCTATATGGACCAGCTGTCGCCCATTGTGAATTCAAAACATAATTATGTAAGCCAGCCATAGGTTTTGCTAGCAACAAATGGCATATGTTGTTCAAAGGTTTATTGCGGACATTTTCTATCACGATGGTAAAAAACAATACACAACGTTTCAGGATCTGGAATCTGATCCCATCCTCAGGTGAAAAACTTAACTAACACATTACAACTAACAATACACAAACGCCCAACCTAATTAGGAATACACTACCGAGGGTAGCAGTAAAAAAAACATGCATTATATAGCAGTCAAGTCATGATACAACATGCAAATAATAACCAATCACAAAACACTATAGTCTATCAAAGGTGTAGTGTTAACAGCTTACAGAGTCGTACACTAAAAACACCGTTCGCAATGACTCCACCAATGAATGAGACTGAAGCAACGTGGCCGACCAATCGGAAACACGGAAACAACAGAGATGGCATCTGGTCCCTGGAAAAGTACTTGTACCAGTCTTTATACCAAGAATAGTTCATCTGCGACTGTAAACAAAGGATGGAAAAGTTTTGTAAATAATATAATATTGCATACTTTGCACATGGTACCCCTTTAAGTGCTACATCGTTTTTCCACGCAATTCTTAAGGGATGGAGTTAATAAGCTGTGGTGAAATTCCGAATTATTCAATGTAGTAGTAATAATGGCTTAGCAAAACTCAGTTGTAAAGGTGTATAATGGTCAATTTTCATATCACATAGTGCTTTAAAAAATCTGTTTCTAATTAATTAAGTAAATGGCTTCTAGTGCTATTCTTATGGAGAAAGTTTTATATTTCGTTTTCTGGTACTGTAACTTTATGGGAATTCTCCTATTTTCCCCGAGTCCCTGGGGTCAAGACCTTTAATTTAAGACATCTCCCACTTTTCTGCGGCTTACCAGACGTCCACAATTTTCTGGTGTTTTTAGTTTTTTTAGTTAATCTACTAAAGTTTACAAATTCAATTGTTATACCGTACATATGCCACTATGTCCATGCAAGGTATAACATCCGAGTGAACGACGTGCAGCCAGGCATGATTGACACAGCGATGTGCAAGGACTCTCCCCCTCACATGGTCCAAGACTGGATAGACCATTGCGCCACCAAGAGGAAGGGACGGCCTGAGGGTAGGTGGTAGTCAATATTTTAGAAGGGAAGTCTTCCATCAGGGATTTCGTAAAATACTAGTAGGTTTTTAGACAGGTAGATTTAGCCCAAAAAACCTCCAAGATAGAACAAACTCTAACAAAAGGGGTTTCAGCGGTTTTTGGCAGTAACAGGTGTATTTAAGTGCTAGAAACAATTCTATCAAAAATTGAAACAACCGGAAGTAGTTTTTTCCTAGATGGCCTCCGTGAGGCCCTCAAATCTACAAGATGACTGCAATTTCATCGATTTATAGTTAAGTATTGACCGATTTTCACGAAAATTATAAAAACATATAAAACCTATATACAACATATAATAACCTAACCCAAACATGGATTTTCGGGGTGTTATGTGCTAAAAAATAAGACTGTTTACCTCAAACGTTAGTTTTCAAATATTTTTTAAAAAGTTTATAGGCTTTTATATTCAAATTAAATTTTTCATCATTAGATTCAGCACAAAAAAACAAACAATGTAGAATATTGACTCTGTATTCTGCGTCAATTTGTTACAGAAATATTGAAAGTAGTAACTATTATATTTCTTTTCCATGTTAAATTTGTAGGTAGATCAACCATAGTCATTATATAATAATGACTATAATCATTATAGTCAATGGTATAATTACCCTGGCTGAAGAGTAAATAGCCCTAAAACAGCCCCATATTTCACGATCACGTCACGTATAACTAGACAACAGTTGTAGCCAGTGTATGAACGAAGCTTTTTTTAGTTATTAGTTATATAAATTATAAATCATCAATTACAATATTTGTTTGTTTTTGTATATGGTGTTTCTTTGCATAAAATTGGTATACAAAGGGTCTCTGAATACAGCTGTATTTCTTTAGATGCATGAGAGTTTACTTTTTTTATTAAATAATTTTGAAACCGGTTATGATCATAGCTTAATAATGTCTTGAGCTAATTCAATAGGTAGATAAAATGGCAGTGTTGTATGTTTAATACAACTGTATTGTACTGCTTGCTATTGATTATAGATATCAAAAACTCTACGTTTGAAGTAAAACTTCTGCGATTACGATATTGTTGATGATTTATGGCTGATGCCTGGCTCTTTTCATTTTAGAATTAGTGGAATATTAAAATATAAGCTGATTTATTGTATGAATTTCCATACAATGTAATGCCATTGGAATATAATAGTATATTTCGTACCTAGGGCCGAAAATGAGGTTTTGCCGGCTTGAGATAGTTTTTAAGTTCGAGACGAAGTCGAGAACTTAAATCGATCGAGAGCTGCAAAACCATTTCGGTCCGTGGTACGAACCCTATTTTTCACCACACTACACGGTTACCACTATTCACCACTATAATAATGCACACTGATAGTTAACACAACTACAACTTTTTGTTTATGTGGAGAAATAATTTGAGGAATCAGCAAAAATAAAAATAAATAGTTGCTAGGCAACGGTGACAATAACACAATTCTATTGCAATGCTGTGGATTTTGATTGTGTATTTAAATACCCCCGCCGCAGCAAACCTGCAGACTAAGCAAATTTCCATTTGACTGATTGGATTTACACTGAAATGTCTACTTAAAAATATAACATTTATTCTCGATTTAAATAGAATTAGTTTAACAAGTACTTAAGTTTGCTGCATCAGGGAGGGTAAAACTGTTTTTTTTTTTTTTTTTTGTAAAATGTTAGTAGTTAGTAAGAAATAAAAACATTTTCCAAATTTGATCAAAATATGTTCATAAACAAGCAAACTACAACAGTTTACTTATTCTCCATAAGAATAACATGGGAATTTTAAATTTACAATTTTTTTTATTTTCTCCGTAACCATTATGCGCATAATAACGCTTCAATATACTAAATTATTTGTTTTTTTAAGCTCTACAAAATGGTTTGGAAAGAAATTGCTAAATTTTATGTTTTTGGGGTCAAAAATGGGTAAAACCTATTTTTACCCCAAAAAATCCCCCGTAAACCCCCGTTCCCATGGTCCGATCATGCTGGATCGCGAACTCGTTCAAATAAACGTAGGTTTACACGTTTGCACCAAATTTCATCAAAATCGGATCATCTTTGCTCGAGTTATCGTGCTAACGGACACATATATATATATATATATATATATATATGTATATAAATATATAAATATATAACTATATAAATATATAAATATATAAATATATATATATATGAATTTGAACGGATGGTGTTTTTGGCCTTTAGGGACCTCAAAACGAAAAAAAAATTCGGTCCCGCGTCCGAGTCTTACCATGAGTACTACGGTAATAGCTTATTCCCTATATGGGAAATTCGCTAAAAGCATGCATGTTTTAAGTAAGTAAACGGACAGCTGATTTTGCGGCCCCGGCCTGTAAAAACCTGCTCGGTCCCCAAATTACGATGACAGCTGGCATGGCCAGCAAAACGTAACTTTCGGCCACCAATTAACGTATGTAATACAGCCAAAAACATCATAGTGTGGTGAAAACAAATAAACATCAACCCATTCAACTAAGGTTTACTGTTTAACTTGGATACAGTGAACCCTCTTGAATCTACTTACAGTATCGTTGCACAGTTTACAGCACTTCCCTACTTTCCTGTTTTTAAATATAACTCAAACAAATTTGTGTAATTTGTGTTTCTTTGAGTACGAGGAGTATTCAAACGGTCCCGGAACACGTATGTGTTGTTTAAGTGTGTTTAGTTGTTCAGATCGTTATATTCATATAATGTTTAAGTCATCAATGTATTTAATAAAACGTTATATGTTTCAGAGGTTGCGGAAGTGATAGTGTTTTTGGCCTCAGATCGCGCGTCCTACGTCAACGGCGCCCACGTCCCTGTAAATGGAGGCTTTTAACGTCTAGCTGTTATTGCAATAAAATCATTTCTCATGCTGCAGTAAAAACTGATCTATTCAATACATGCCTTGCCCCCCAAATTAGTCCTTATTATCTCTAAGGTAAAAAATCAGTGGAGCCAAGAGTAGTAGATAAAGATTTGACACACTTGTAAACTTCCTTAAAAAATCTAATATATAGAGAATATTTACTGATTGATGCCAAGTTCATGTTGCACTGTTTCTTTTTTTTTGTTTTTGTTTTTTTTTGCTAGACTGCAATTTTGTATGATTATTGATAATTGGCCGTAGGAATATTAACCCCTCTCCCTGTATGTACAATATTGTAAAAAAAAAACTAAGTCTTAGGTCAACCTCCTAAATAATTAGAATCCTAATAATTAGAAGTTATTAATTTGTAAAATGAATACCATAACATTATGTAAAAAAGCGAATATTTTTCGTTTGCCTAGTTCTGAAATAAGAAATTATGTTGATTAACCTGTCAATGATTTGGCATTGTGGCGGGTTTTGACTGATTGAGACCTGATTGAGACGGGATTGAGATGTATATAGATTGGATTGAGACGGGATTGAGATGGGTTGAGACGGGATTGAAATGGATTGAGATGGTATTGAGACGGGATTGAGGTGGATTGAGACGGGATTGAGATGGGTTGAGACAGGATTGAAATGGATTGAGATGGTATTGAGACGGGATTGAGATGGGATTGGGACGGGATTGAGAAGGGATTAAATGTAATTGAGACAGGATTTAGAAGGATTTCCAATTTTCAAGTTTGCTGCCATTTTGGAAAATGGCCGCCATATTTGAAACAATAGAATCAATACTTTGTACGTATTTTTTTATTATTATTATTTTTTTTTAATGTTGATGCAATCACTTATTTACTCTTCCCATTTTCGCCTATATAAACCTACTCGCTTAAGAGATACATGATGGAAAATGTACACCGGAAATAATTTTTTCATAACTCCTTAACGAGTGGGTTTATGGAAAAATTCTCAAGAATTTTTTGTTAATTGCATGTTACATCCGTAAAATATAGGGTGTTCTATAAGAAATTTCTAAGTTGGCCTCCATTTTGGAAAATGTTGGTTGAATGAAAAAAAAAACGGAATTCTTATTTTTAGGTTTCACCAAAAATAAAGGAATGTGTCCCATTTAAACTTTACTCTAATTCTTACCGTTTTCGATATCCCAATGGTGGCCTCCTTCAGTTGGATCATCCAACTCAAGCAAAAATGATCCGATTTTGATTAAATTTGGTATAAACGTGTAAACCTACATCTATTCGAACGAGTTCGCTAATATGCATGATCGGACTATGGGAACGGGGGTTATGGGGGTTTTATGGGGGGAAAATGGATTTTCCCATTTTCACCCTGTAAACATACAATTTTGCAATTTCTTTCTAAACCATTTTGTAGAGCTCAAAAAACGAATTAGTAATTTAGTATATAGAAGCATTGTTTTATGTCTAACGGTTACGGGGAAAAATTCCAAAAAAGTGTAAATTTATAATTACCATGTTAGGCTATTATTTTTATGGAGAATAAATAAACTGTCGTAGCTTGCTTGTCTATGGACATATTCTAATGCAATTTTGAAATTTTGTTTACTTCATACTAAGCTATCAATATTTCAATAAAAAACCCTATTTTCTTTCCTGTAGCAGCAAACAGTACTCATTAAAATTAATGACATTTAAATAGGAAATAAATCTGACAATTTTAAGGGAATAATTTAATGGAATTCCAGCCAGATAGATGGAAATTCACTTAGTCTGCAGGTTTGCTGCGGCGGAGGTATTTTACTTATCGTGATGGAAAATGTCCTCAATATTCTTTTATATAACAAAAGCTATGATAAATTTGTCTGTGATCGAATTAAATTACATTTCGATTACATTATTAACTTTTAAAACTACTGTATTTAAGGAGTTGTAATTTCGTACTGTACAAAGCGATGCGTCGAAATGTTTCATAAACTTGTCGTTAGAGTGTGTTGAGTGTTCAACCGCGCTACAAACAGTATTTCGTAAATTCTCACCCAGAATGCGTGCTTATACATTGATGGGACTAATACTGTTCTAGATTCTAGAATGTAAATATAAGTAATTTAAATTTAAAAATTCAGAACACACGTCTTTCAATAATTGTAGGGATTAATCTAAACGAGGGAACATTGGTGTATCTAATGTTCAGTGTAGTTCAATGTGATGTATAAAATCGGATAAACCAATAAAATGTATACCTCTTTAATACATCTTTGATCAACACATGATTTTGATTTAAAAAAAAACTTTGTTAGCTAAAGGAAACTTAATGTTTGGATTAAAATGTATCTTATTATTTTCCACTTGCGTTAGATAAATGTTTTACATACATCAAAATAAACCATTTACAATTTGATAAAATACATTTAATATTAACAATGATCAAAATCTAATCACCAAAAACTATCAACATAGCTTCCATACATTTTTAAAGTAAGTGTTTAAGTTGGTTAGCCTAATTAAAAAAATAAATTACAATAGTGTAGCTAAAAAAAGTATGAAAATGTATTTTGGCAAACAATGGTGAACAGGGTCTTTTCCAGACAATGTTATCGTATCATTCGTATATTTCCATGATCTACTCAAATTGAAGGGAAAGTATGAAAAATCTTAAGAAATTTATGAAAATTGCACTATTTCTTACATGTTTTTACGATAGCTTCATGCTGTAATATATGGTAAAATCTTTAAAAAGAAGGGTTTCCAACTATGTATGTATACAGTATGTAATTACTGTATATGTTAGTGGATGGAAAGATTTTTTTTGTAGGTACGTTCCATCGGGGAACCATTTGTTTGTGTTCCTGGCATAATTTGTCCTGTACCAAATGGTGTGTATTCCACAGCCCTAGTGACTAAATATATACTTTTAGCAAAAGCCATAAAAGTTGGATCAGTAAACGAAACTAAGACGGAGATCATGAAATCAAATTAAAATTAATGGGTGGTTTCGATTTTACAATATAATAAGAAGACTGCTTGCACTATCTAAAATCAACAATGAAAATACTCTAGTTTCAGGCGTAAACAAAATAAGATGAAATATCAGTCAATTTACATGCAAAAATGAATAGTTTTGTAAATGAAATGTGTTATTGAAATTCGTAGGTCTATATAGGAGAGGCCTTGATTCAAACCAGTGAATAGTGATTTCAAAAACCGCTCATTAAAATAAAAACTACACAACCAGCGCTATTCATTTTGCTTCTAAAAGCATCTAAAACCGACGCTATTCAAATGAGAGGAAGCAAAGAGGGGTCGGAACAAAAAGTTTCAGTTCGTAGAAACCGCGGAGTGTAAAGCGCGTGTAGCATAGTTCAACTAAAATCGATGACTTTGCGGACCTAAGGGGGAAGAGGGGAAGCGCATGTAGAGGTAGCAATCAAAATAATCCAGAACAAAACCGAAACGAAACGAAAGGAAGAGCTAGGACGGAGAGAGCTTTCACTATTTCCATATTGTCGCGTAGGAGTAGAAGTAGTGGGGATAGTCACCACCCTATGAGGGGAAACCACCCTCCGCGAGAGCCGGATAAAAATATTGCCTCCGCGTAAACAGATAGCCCATCAAGGCATCCAAGAATCGTCTATAAATGTCGCAGTTTTGGGATCAATAAGGCTCATAGTTGCGTCACGCCCAGTTGCACAACAATGACGCATTGCTAACATTCGTCTGTTTTAAATTCGACAACGTGACGCAGAATTGTCACGTTCAGTTACTGGTGACGAATGTTTTGCATAACCTATGAAAATGTGGGTTGTCACAGCAGGAAAGGTCCGAAAGTATTCTCCTATATCGCCCCTGTCACTTTTTATTAGTTTACCTCTACAACACCTACACACCAGGGTGACGAGTGGAGGAGTTGAATGTATGGGGAATGTTATAGCTTTGTTACTAATACCCCTGGTTGCCAGGACAATTCATTATTCTGGCTGCATGAACAAACTTCTTACACTTCTTAGTACCGAACCCGCAATCTTTTAGGTGAGCAATATAACCTCTCAGCTTCCCAGATAGCCTGTAAAGTCTGTATAAGTGGTTTTCCACCAGGCGTATGTGAAAGAGCAATGCGTAGTTATCTGATAAAAAATATGTAAACTGATGGTTTTCTGCAAAACATGTCAAAACCCAACCAAAAAAATATAAACTAGTGGTTGTATACGGATCATGATATTATTTGCTTCTTTGTCATTCAAAATTGTTAAATCTGTTTGAATACTAAACAGTTGACCTTTTTATTGATATCACTCCTATTGACTGATTTGAATCAGCGATACTGACAATAGCACTGTTTATGCCGGCAAATAAAAACAAATAAAAACATTTAAGGCATACAACTTTTTAGAGAATTCAACTAATTAGAGTAAAGCAGTAAGAATTACGTGTATATAAGGGATTTATTTCACGATAGAAACATTGAGTGATGCTAATTCACTACCACTATTATAGTCAATGGCAATTCTCTTACAAAAGCCATAATCCTTATAGTGTATTTAATTGTAATTAAATGTTTTTAGGTTTGGACATATTGAAGAACATGGTTTATTTTTTATGGACTTTGATAAAATGACATTTCACACCCCACAGGAAAGCTGTAATTTCACAATTAAATTTCAGCATTTAAATTAACTAGTAAACTAATTTAATTTACATAGTAATTATTTAGTATTTAATTTACATAGTAAAGATTTGCGAAGTGAATTAACATCGCCTTCAAGATAATTAAAATATTTAGTTCAACAAATGAGTCATTGACATGTTGTACAAATGAAATTTGTTTAATATCCATAAACATTAAATTAAATACGCTTTAATATAGGGTCGTTGTTAAGTTAATTTTGACCTTACACAATGTTTACCTTCAAAATTTGTGCTCAACAGCTATGACCCATCAGAAATGTCTTCATATTCGAAAAACATTAGTTATTTGTGAAAATATTAGTATTGATACCATCAATAATATGCT